AGTAAATCCTATTGAGTTCACTGGGCTGATTTACAGGAAAGTAGATGCAGGATTATAAATAAAACTGAATAGACAGAAATGAGCTGGGTTTAATGCTTACATCTAACAGCACATCTAAGGTCATCAGTATCTCAGACCATGGTGCAGTATCATCAATGCTGGAGCCGTGGAGTTCAGTCAGCTTGTCTGCATCAAGTAGTTTCCCTACAATAATTACAATGCTTCCCTCTTGTGGCAAAGAGAAGTACTAGTACTATTTTAAGTACGTACCGTATTTTTCGCACCATAGGACGCACTTTTTCCCTCCTAAAAAGCAAGGGAAAATGTGTGTGCGTCCTATGGAGCGAATGCAGGGGGGGAGGCAGGCGGGAAAAGCCCTCAAGAGCCACACACAAGCTTCGTGCGCTCTTGCGGGCTTTTCTCCAGGAGGGAGAAGGGACTGACTGGCTGCAGCAGTCCCTTCTCCCTCCTGGGGGAAAAGCCCCCAAGAGCGGCGCCCTCTTTAAAGGCTGTGTGGCTCCTGCAGGCTTTTCTATGAGGTGGGGGAACCCACCTCCCAGAAAAGCCAGGAGAAGCCTCACCGCCCCTTTAAAGAGCGTAAGGCTTCTGCGGGAGGTGGGGGAAGCTGCAGCAGATTCCCTCCTCCCGGGCTCCCTTTGAGGCGGCAATGTGGGAGGGGAGCAGCTTACACTCGTGTAAGCAGCTCCTCTCCCACTTTCTGCCTTCAAAGCAACTACGGAGGAGGGAAGGAAGAGGACCATGGATCCTCCGCTGCTGGAGGCTTCAGCAGATTCCCCCCTCCGTGATTGCTTTGAAGCAGGAAAGTGGGAGGGGGGCAGCTTACACTCGTGTAAGCAGCTCCTCTCCCACTTTCCTCCTTCAAAGCAACTACGGAGGAGGGAAGGAAGGGGACCATGGATCCTCCGCTGCTGGAGGCTTCAGCAGATTCCCCCCTCCGTGATTGCTTTGAAGCAGGAAAGTGGGAGGGGGGCAGCTTACACTCGTGTAAGCAGCTCCTCTCCCACTTTCCTCCTTCAAAGCAACTACGGAGGAGGGAAGGAAGGGGACCATGGATCCTCCTCTGCTGGAGGCTTCAGCAGATTCCCCCCTCCGTGATTGCTTTGAAGTGGCAATGTGGGAGGGGAGCAGCTTACATTCGTGTAAGCAGCTCCTCTCCCACTTTCCTCCTTCAAAGCAACTACGGAGGAAGGAAGGAAGAGGACCATGGATCCTCCTCTGCTGGAGGCTTCAGCAGATTCCCCCCTCCGTGATTGCTTTGAAGCAGGAAAGTGGGAGGGGGGCAGGCTTACACTCGTGTAAGCAGCTCCTCTCCCACTTTCCTGCTTCAAAGCAACTACGGAGAAGGGAAGGAAGGGGACCATGGATCCTCTGCTGCTCACGGCTGCAGCGGATTCCTCCTCCGTGATTGCTGGGAGCTTCTCTGGGCAGGAATTCCCTAGGCTTAAGTGGGGTGGGGGAAGTGTGGCAGGTAGGGGGGTACCTACCTAGACACTGAAGCCACATGTCTATTAGATGAAAATTGGGAGTGGGCATTGTGTGAAGTGGCTGTGGATCTCCTGCCGCAGAAGTGTAGGACTGTATAGAGTTGGGAGGGCCACCCGAGGGTCATCTAGCCCAGCCCCCTCACAATGTAGGAATCACAGCTAAAGAACGCCAGGCAGATGGTCCCCCCAACCGCTGCTTAAAAGCCTCCAGTGGTGGAGACCCCAAACACCTTCCGAGGTCATAGAATTGCAGGGTTGGAAGGGAACCCCAGGAGTCATCTAGTCCAGCCCCAGTGGACAGCAGGTGCAATCCATCCCATTGCGCAAGACTAAAGATGCTGCGCAAGGCTAAAGAAGAAGCCAAGGCAGCGAGCGGGATGGATCGCGCTTGCTGCCTTGTCTTCTTCTTTAGCTGCACTGGAGAGGTTTAGCTCCTGGCTGGAGAGGTTGCGCGGCTATGGACCCCGCACGCTGTCTTGGCTTATTTGCTCTTTGGGGCTGGGGGGGGGGACTCGGGCTTCCCCGCAGCCCCAAGAAGCTCTGGGAGAAGTGGACAGGCTGCGTGCAGCCTGTCCGTTGCTCTTTGGGGCTGGGGGGGATAATATTTTTTTCCTTGATTTCCCCCTCTAAAAACTAGGTGCGTCCTGTGGTCCGGTGCGTCCAATGGAGCGAAAAATACGGTATATTTATGAACACACAGGCAACAGCATAATCTTATCTACAGGGGGTAAAATGTGGACACCACCCACTCCAAATTTCAGGGAAGTTAAATTGTCCACGGCTCCTAAACATATTTACTAGGGAAATAGCCTCCATGGAACACAGTACTGTTCTGCAGAGGCTTTTTTTTTTTAAATAACTTTTATTTCCAATATTCACTCTTTTAAAATCACAATAGGGAAAAAAAAAAGACATCGCAAAATAAACAGATGTAGACAATAAAATATCAAGACGTAAATACATTTCTCCGAAAGTATTAATTATCATAACATCATTCTGACTTCCCTCCACCGCGATTTAAGCTATATCCCATTGATACCCTTCTTGCAGTTCCTTCTTTCTACCTTTATCTTTACTTCGCAGATTCTATAATTCACCTACTGTTATTTTAATATTACCTAAGTTTTTCTCCATGTATGATATAAATTTGTTCCAATCATTAATAAAGGTTTTATTACTCTGATGCCTGATCTTCTGTGTCATTTTTGCTAGCTCAGAGTACTCAAATAGCTTGTTTTGCCATTCACTTATAGTTGGGATTTTAGATGATTTCCAGTTCTGTGCCAACAGCAGTCTTGCTGCTGTCGTTGCATACTGGAACATGGTTTGGTCTTCTTTTCTAATCTCCTCACCGACCATTCCCAGAAGAAATGCTTCTGGTTTTTTAGGAAATGTGTATTTCAGTATCTTTTTCAATTCATCATAGATAGAACCCCAGAACCTCTTCACTTCTTCACATGACCACCACATATGATGGAAGTCGCCCTCTTTTTTTTTACATTTCCAACATCTTTTGTCTCCAGTCTTGTACATTTTTCCAAGCTTAACAGGAGTAATATGCCAACGATACATCATTTTTTCCATATTTTCACGGAGGCTAACGCATGCTGCAAATTTCATGTCCTTAGTCCAAAGTTTCACCCATCTCTCATATTCTAAACTATATCCCAAATCTATGGCCCACTTTATCATGACCTCCTTCACCTCCTCGTCTTTTGTATCCCATTCCAGTAATTGATTGTACATTTTGGATAGAAGCTTACTCTTTCCTTCTAATATTTCCACTTGGAATTTTGATTTTTTCTCATTCATCCCTATTTTTTTGTGTTCATTCCATAGGGCGTTAATTTGGTGAACCTGTAACCACCCTATTGATTTATCTTTTAGTTCTTCAAATGATTTAATTCTCCACCCCTTATCCGATTTGGTCAGGAGATCTTCGTAGGTCCATCTTTGGCTTCTCGTGTTTAAATTTTTAAGGGATGAGATATTAACTGGAGATAGCCACCAAGGTATGCCCTTTTCCAACAGTCTTTTAGTTCTATTCCAAACCTCTAACAACGCTCCTCTAACAATGTGGTGGGAGAAACCCTTATGCACCCTTTCTTTATCTTGCCATAAATAGGCGTGCCAGCCAAATCTAGCATCAAATCCTTCCAGGTCTAACACATCTAAGTTTTCTGCAGAGGCTTATGCTGCATGTCGGAACCCTGACAGCGCAAAACTCTGCATGTCTATCCAGAAGCACAACCCCCTGAATTAAATGGGTCCTACTTAAGTGGGTACGGGATTCCAGCCTAGAGGCAGAATGTTTTGTCAAGGAGCATCTGACTGCTTTCATTACTACTCTTTTCTGAGCACATTTCAACACCTACGTTTCTCCATCTGAAATACAACTTTTTGGGGAAAACAGCAATAAATCCCAACTGCGTATTGTTACTCTCTGCTCCCAGTTCTTCGTAGTGATTAATGGCTTACGTGTAGGGCTCAGGGCCAGATTTAGGTTTGATGAGGCCCTAAGCTACTGGAGGTAAAGGGACCCCTGACCGTTAGGTCCAGTCGTGGCCAACTCTGGGATTGCGGCGCTCATCTCGCTTTATTGGCCGAGGGAGCAGGCGTACAGCTTCCGGGTCATGTGGCCAGCATGACTAAGCCGCTTCTGGCGAACCAGAGCAGTGCACGGAAATGCCGTTTACCTTCCCGCCAGAGCGGTACCTATTTATCTACTTGCACTTTGATGTGCTTTTGAACTGCTAGGTGGGCAGGAGCAGGGACCGAGCAACGGGAGTTCACCCCATCGCGGGGATTCGAACAACCGACCTTCTTATAACCAGCCCTAGGCTCTGTGGTTTAGACTACAGCACCACCCTTTATATGTCCTGCTGTCTTTTGTCAACAACAAATTGTCGCTGTTTTTTGTGTTGACTATATGGTAATTTATGGGCCTAATAAGTATCTAAAGCCATTTGCCACTGTTGCTGTATCTAGGTTTTCTTTTATTTGCTTTTTATCTTATATTTTGGAAATGTACATCCAGGTGTTTTTTCCCTTTAGTTTTTTGGGGGCCCCCAAGAGGGTGGGACCCTAAGTTATAGCTTGTTTAGCTTATACGTAAATCCGGCACTGGTAGGACTGCAGGGTTAGCTGTTGTTAAAATCTGTATACCGCGCTTCACCTGCACATCTCGGGGCGGTTCACAACATATATACCAGGGTGATTTGATTTCCTTGCCTAGCTAACGCGCGCTCTGAGATCCCAGCCCGGTCCTGCATTTCCTCTGAAGCAAGTCCCCTTCAGTTCAGGGCTGCTTACACCCGAGTAAAAAGCAAGCGCCGAACTGCAGCCCCCGTTCCTCGTTGCCGTATCCGAGAGTTGACCAGGCTCGCGCGCCTCTTGCAAAAAAAAAATACCCCAAGCTCGCCTTGCAGCTGCTTATGCTGCAATGGACGTGTGTGCAGAAGAAAGGAAGAAAGGCAGGAGCGACGCGAGAGGGGGGGGCAACCCTCCCAAATGCAGGTGAATTTACACTCAGTCTCGCGCAGCAAAGGGAGGGAGAGAACCTCCGCGCGCGCGGCGCTTAAATCGCCCCCCCCCCGCCGCCCGCGCTCCCTTCGGCAGACCCAGAGGCCTTTGCGCGATGACGTCACGGGGCCGGGGCCTCGAGAAGCCTCACGGCAGCAAACGGCGGGATGTTGCGGCGTCGGGCGGCGAAATGACTGGAGGCGGGAAGAGGAGGCCCGGAGCGGCGGCTGCGCAGGAGCAGGTCGGTCGACAGGCCCGATAGACGCGCACATAACGCGGGAGAACCGGGTGGCGGCGCCGGCGGGGACCAGCCTCCTTTGTGCCGCCCGGCTCCTCTTCCAGGCGGGGCGGGTTTAGCTCCGCGACGAGGAGCGCGTCTCCCTCCCTGAGGCGCCTCAGGAGGCGACGGGGGCGGGAGGTGTCGCCGGGCGCCCCCCTCAGCGCCTTCCGCTGAGCCTGCCAGAGATGGGGACCCCCGCCCAGGGATGCCCCTAGAACAGCCTCCTCCCAAGGTTCCAGGTTCGGTCCCTGTATGGGACAGCTGCTTATTCCTGCACTGCAGGGGGTTGGACTAGATGATCCTCAAGGTCCCTTCCAGCTCCACAATTCTATGCATAGCTGTCAACGTTTCCCTTTTTTTAAAAGGAAATTCCCTTATTCCGAATAGGATTCCTCGCAAGAAAAGGGAAAAGTTGACAGCTATTATTCTATGGGAGGTCAAAACACCAAGCTCTGGATTCAAATCCCCTTCCTCTTAGGCCCCTTCCTTCCCAATCCTCTAACGCGCTTCTAATAATAATAATAATAATATTTATACCCCGCCCATCTGGCTGGGTTTCCCCAGCCACTCTGGGCAGCTCCCAACAAAATAATTAAAATAAAACATCAAATGGTTAAAATAAAACATCAAGCATAAAAAACTTCCTAAAGCATGAGAGTGTGAGCTTGCTTCTTCCCAGGCTGTGGGATTAAAATTGATCTGCTGTCCACTGGTACTAGTGTGAAAAGGGGAAGGAGGTCAAGAAGAGGCGGTGCTCCGGCGAAGCAGACGTCCCTGGCCATGTACGCCAAGAGGTGGAAAGCTGCTACCGGTTCCAGATGCCCGAAGACTTCTATTGTTTCTGGAAGTTTTGTGAGGAGCTGGATCCTGACAAGCCATGTGGTGGGTTCCGGAAACCCGATTTTTCTGTGTTGTTGTTTTAAATAGCATCTTTGGTGATAAGACGGTTTGGCAACAAAAGCAAAAAGAGAAGTTCTCACATTTCCTCTTTGCTTGGATTTAAAAGTCAAATCCAGTGCCCCAACTGCAGTGAACCTCTTTTTTTTTTTTTACCCTAGACTACAAACTGTTTCCCCAGACATACACCTATGTAAAATGTCACACTTTCCCATGAACCTTCCAGTGTCGGCGCAGGTCATGGAGATTGTTATTGTCCTCACTTTAGTGTTCTGATCCTAAAAGCACAAGATGGAACTGTTGATTTTAGTGGGACATATTTCTGTGTTATTTGTTTAGGATTGTACTGTGATGAGAAGATATTATAGCAACCAACAGTTGTACACATAGGCCAAGCATTAAAAGTTTTTGTCTCCGCCTAGAGTTTGAGCTAGAAAGTCTTTATTCCTCTCCCCTTCATTTTATTTATTTATTTATTTAGGAAACATTATTTAGGATTAGAAATGTGTACTGTGCATGCATCTCTTCTATAGGTAGATGGAACATCAATTTATTGACCTGAGAAGGGAGAAATGCATTAATATGGGGCAAAGAAGAGCTTCTTTAAATAAAGTCATTTTAAAAGTTAAATAGGGATTTTCTGGCTTAGATCTTTCTCCAGGAGCATAAAACAGCATATTTTATGCTTTTGTGCTATTTTTAAAATGAATTTTTAAATACATTTCATAGATGCACTTAAATCAAGCATTGGACTTCAGCTAGTTGGGCCATATGACATTCTTGCTGGAAAACATAAAAAGACAAATAGATCAGCGGATGTGAACTTCAATCTTCACTGGAGGTTTTTTTATGATCCTCCTGAATTCCAGACTATCCTTACTGGAGACAGCAAAATGCAGTATCATATGGGATATTTTAGGTAAGTAATGTATCTACCTTGGAAAAAGATTTTACTTATTCTAGCACTTCTATTCCTGTCATTGTCTTAAAACATACATTAGGCACTGCTGATTATTACTTCCAAGTAGCTCTACCCAGAATAGGATATGAGGCCAAGGACCAATTCCAGCACAGTGTGTGGCCATTTTAATTATAATCTTTCACCCGTATGTGTCTACAGGTGGAAAAGTGGTATCAGAACATGTTGTCCATATAATTGGGCAGGGGAGGCAGTTCCCAATAAATATTGCATCTAGCAATCTTGTCTGCATAGGCTGTTTCCATATTCATTTTCTATGCAAAGTTTCACTGAATGTTTTCAGAAGCCCTCATGTTCATGCCAAATTTTGTAATCAGCCTGTAGTCTCATGTTGGCATGCAAAAGCATCCCATAGGACAAGGAAGGGAAGTCTTATAATTTCTTTATTTCCTTCTGAGGAAACTGATTAGTTCAGTGAAATGAGTTTTGTAGCCGGCATCTCGTAAAGTCTTTGTTTAATTCTAGTTTATTTTTTGATTATTGGTATTCTATAATCGATTACTTCTCATTTCAGGGATTTTCACAGTAATTTTTGTTTTGTTTTCTGTAGTCTCATATTGGCATACAAAAACATCCCATAGGAGAAGGAAAGGAAGTCTTTAATGTTTGATGTTTTATTGTGTTTTTAATATCCTGTTGGGAGCCACCCAGAGTGGCTGGGGAGGCCCAGACAGATGGGTGGAGTATAAATGAATTATTATTATTATTATCTGTGAACTGTTTATATGGAACTTTGGGAACTTATTCATACTAAAGAAATAAATTTATCCAGCAGGTGGCTCCATACATTAATTTAGGCAAATGAAAACCACCTGAGAAATCTTACTTACTTGCTGATTAATTTTTATGGCAAGCATAGGCAGGAAGGCCATTTTCAACCTGAAAGTTTGAATTCTTGATTTACTGTTTAAATTGGATAAGTGTGTTTAACCCACCCAGTAAGTGTGTTTAGGGTCCTAGGCGTAATCTATATACTGTTTAAATTCAGTATACAGATTTAAGGCTAGGATCCTAAACACACTTATTGGGGAGTAAGAACCATTGAACACAGTAGGATTTACAAGTATAGGGTTGCAGCATGAACATGCTAAACATGCTAAAAATATTGTCAATTTTTGAGGTTTTTTTAAAAATTCAGTACACTTTTAAAGCCTATTCTAATATGTTTCTGCCTTGACTGGGTCACAGCAGTCGAAAATCTTAAGTATAAGTTATGAAGAAATTAAATTTCCTACTCACAGAGTGAAAATTTGAGAGGCTATTGAACAATCCTCAGAGAAACATAATAACTCATGGTATCACTTTTTTAAATACTATTTTTGGTTGGGAACCATCTGGATTCTCTTTGTAACACCACAGAGAATACTGTAATATGTTTAACTTCAGGACATTGTATGTGAATTTTTAGGGATATGCCGGATGAACTGCCTGTGTGGGTTGGTGAAAATGAAGCCAAGAAGGGCTGCACAATTTCTCAAGTTGGTGACAATGTATTTGCTGCTGTAAAGTAAGATTTAATACTTTCAACTCCTGGATTAAAAGCAAACATGAATCTGGACCAAATTAGATGAGACAGGAGAGCAATTTCTATGTTTATGCTGGTTGTTTTTTAAAAACTGAAATGTAGTTGCAGGGCAAGTGCAAATTTGACTGGAGCAGTGTTTGTATATGTTCAGATATTTACCCACAAGCCATTTCCCAATAAAACTTGCACCACAGCTATTTTCTTCATGGAACGGAAAAGGTACCTATTTACTTGGATCCGTCTAAAGTGCCTCTTGCCCTCCTGAACAAATTCTCCTGCATTTGCCACAAGACTAGTGTGGGGTGCAATATATCCTAGCTACTGTATCATAAGCTTTGGTATACCTACTTGTCCTCCGGAAGCTCCATTTCAGTTTTTGTAAAAAATGGCGGGAGGCCAATCACATGGCTTACCTAGTTTGGTTCATAGAAATTCTAATTTGGGCACTCCAATGATATTTAGTGTGCAATCCTACACATTCTTACTTAGGGAATGAGTCACAATGATACAATGAGGCTTACTTATGACTAGATACAGTATCTTGTATCTGTTAGTTACTTGCCAGTTGCTCTTGTATAGCTGTGTGTTTCAGCTTTTGTGAACATTACACTTGATTTTTTTCTGATTATTGTAAGCTAGCAAAATTTCCTAAACACTTTAAAAAGCAAGAAGGTAATCACTTTCCTATCAAAGTTTTCTATATACCCTGTATATATTGTTCATATTATGATTCTTAGCAGTCTAGGACGGGTGGTGGTGGGAAATAACATAGCCGTCATTTATAGCCAAGTTTCTGCTTCAACAGCAATATTTGAGGCTGCCTTTGAGTTATCATTTTCAAGTCGTAAACACTTTATGCATTTCCAATTGTTAGCTCACAAATACTTTCAGCCATCCAGTTCAGTAGTTTTATTGAAAATTATGCATAATAAAGGAGTTGATTAATGTACTATGACCTGTTCAGTTTGCACATATTGAATGTGTTTTTCTTTTTGACTAAAATAAAACGGAAGCAAAATTGTAAACTTAGTTTAAAAAGCCAACAGCTAAACAATACTGAAATCAAGATTCCCCATGCAGCTGTTGTTTTTGTCTGTTTCTCGAGTTGAGACAACTTGCTTGTTGAAACTTCTACCTTGTGTGACAGTACAGAACAACACCTAGTCTATTGAATAATCCATATTCTGGCACATCAACTGAAAGGGCTGATTGTGGGACTATTTTGATGTGATCTTTGTACATTGATACTACTTTAAAAAGTGATCATGTGAGCATTTCCACATGAAGTAATTACGTGGTGGCTAGTAAATACAGCTGTTTAATCAGTGAGCAAGACTTAATAAAATCCTTTGGGAGAGGTTATAGTCTCACTTAATTGCTGCTTCTCCATGGAGGCACTTGTGATCATTTCAAAAGCCTGTCTCTCAGCACTAAGCCTGACTCCAAAGTAGTCCTTTGGAATATTTACAGCTAAAGTTAGTTAAAAGTCATAGTTAAACATTCATTCATTTATTAATTCCTATGTTTTGCTTTGCTGATTAAAGCCATGCTAGATTCTTTGAAAGACTTAAGAAAACTTTCCATGCTTTTATCATTCTAGAGCAGGGCTGGGAAACCTGAAGCCCTCCAGATGTTGTTGGACTCCAGCTCCCTTCATCCCTCATAATCAACCTAAGCTAATGGAGTCCCAACAACATGTCCCAGGTTCCCCATTCCTGTTACAAAGAAAAGTGGATGATACATGTAACACGAAGTTTTCTTTTTCTTTCAGATTACTTTTGTCCAAAAGGCTTAAGGAATTGATGGACAAAAAGAAAATCAGCATTCTGAAAGATATAGATGAAAAACTAACCAAAACAGCAAAAGAACTTGGTTACTCGCTTGAGCAAAAAACCATGAAGATGAAACAGAGAGACAAGAAAGTATGGCTTGATTTCTTTCTAGATTAATAAAGAACTCTAATGTATAGGCCCGTTCCTTTTTTTTTCCTGCTCAAGGCCAGCTTGTGTTAATTTTCTATAAGTTTACAAGGTAACTTATCCTAGGAAATAAATTCTCAATATTTTAATCACCTTTTTACTATGAGAAAATGTTGAGTTGCTTTACATATACTTAAAGTTTGATTGTTGTTGAAAGGTATAAAATACAAAGCATTGCTTGGATGTAGGTATTTTTAAAATTTTAGGAGCCATAATAAATTATGTTCAGAGCACAGAAACATATTCTTAATGGCATCTGACAGCAATGCCTTTTATATAAATTACAGCATCAACACTCTCTTCATGGCAAAACATGAGATCACCACTAATGTATACTTTAAAGATCCAAATAACTTAAATAACAGAACAAGCAGAAACAATATGGAGGACATAGAAGGAAGTATCTCAAGCTCAACCCAGAAACCAAACAAATCAGGAATGACAGATTAAGACTTAATTCTAAAACATGGATTTAGAATATCAGACATGTTTGTCCAAATATGTTAACTGTAACTAAACTACGTTCACCAGCTATAGGCTATAGATGGAAAAGTGTTACCTAAGCAACCAGAATACCAGTTACTTGTGCAACAGTCTATGTTTTGGAATGACAGGTGCAAATTCTGTTCATATTGAACTATGAATTTTCAGAACATTTCTATCTTTAAAAACCTTAAATTTAATTTGGGAAAGACAGGAGCAAGTTATAAATTCCCCTTCCCCCCAGTTGATCAGGAAACAGCTGAACAGCCTCAGAGAGGGGATTCCTTGAGAAACAGCCAATTCAAAACATTGCAGGTGCCTTGTGGTGGTAACCTCCAATGGAACTGGCTTCTCTGTCTTTTCCCAATGGAATCACCACTTCAAGAGGAAGGAGGTGGAGCACTGTTTTCAATGGATTGTCTTAGTGCTCCAGAAGATTACATGGATGAGCAGCAAGGAACACTGAGCAATGCTCTATAATCATTGCTGTCGCACAAAAAGGTAGGGAGCTGTCTACTTGGTACAAAAGGTTTTAAAGGCTGGTTAATAATTCAGTTAAATGTAAATACTTCTAGAAAAATAACAAGTCTTTGAATAGATGCAGAATTAATATTTTAATTCAGATGTGGTTCCGTGTAGTTTGACAGGCCTACCCCTAATCGTATTTGTCTCTTTCTCTTTTCAATACAGGTAGTAACCAAGACATTTCATGGAGCTGGTCTGGTTGTCCCCATAGATAAGAATGATGTTGGGTACAGAGAGCTTCCTGAAACAAATGGTAACTTAATTCTAGTGTTTCTGTTCTTAGAAAAAGAAAATTGAATTTTGTTATTAGTAAGAGTGCATTTAGATTCTGAAGTCTTGAAAGTCTTGAAAAATGAATATTTATACGTTAAGTTGAATCCAGACTTTTGCTCCTAGTAGCAGGAGTATTCCCTGACTGTAATTCCACCCATGAGATGCTCCCGTTTGAAGTAGGGAAAGGTCAATTTTGCTGGTTCTCCTCTCCTTGGGTGACCTTATAGAACAATGTGAGAGGTCATGACAAGGGCTGCAGGGAGGGGGAACTGGCAAAAATTTGCTTAACAACCCCTTTCACCAGTGGGAGTGTCAGAGTCTAATTCCATAGCTGTAGTGATCACTAATGAGCAACCTGTCTGCCATTACTGATATTCTTATTGAGAAATCTGTTATTCTGAAGAATCCTAGGCAACATACAGTAAAACAGACAAAACTGAATGATAAAGGAAACTTGTTCCAATTTAGTTCTCATGTGAACTTTCCTCTGCAGCTAGTCTCAAAAGAATCTGTAAAGCCATTGTAGATGCTCCCAATGATGACCAGAGACTGAAAGCCTTTGCCCCTATTCAGGAAATGCTAACTTTTGTTCAGTTTGCTAATGATGAATGTGACTATGGAATGGGATATGAACTGGGAATAGACCTCTTCTGCTATGGGTCACATGTAAGTAAAATAATTTTCTCTGCAGAAACTCATTCATTTTGTGAATGAACAGAAAGAACAAATGAGCTCAACCAAGCAGCTCGTGAAACTAAACTGAGGAAATGTTTGACATGAAAAACAGTATGAGTGTATATCAAGTGTAATATCAATTTCAGTGAGATAATGCGTTCTTTTAATCTTTTCTAGTATTTTCACAAGATTGTTGGCCAGTTGCTGCCTCTTGCTTACAACTTGCTGAAGAGGAATCTGTTTGCAGAAATCATTGAAGATCATTTAGCTAATAGGAAAGAAGAGAATGTAGACCAGCTTGCAGCATGAAATAGTGTCATTAAGTGAAGTATTGAGTTGCCTTGTTTCGGGGTATTTTCTTGTTTTTTGGTACTGAACTGGTGTAGTTTCTATGTGAGATAAATAAACTTGTTTTGCTAAAGATTAGCAGCTTATTGACCGGGGTGGGGATCCAAATTATATTTCCACTTTCATTTTGCACTCTGCGTTGCCATACACTGTAATATTATAAGATAATGGGTTGCAAACCATGAGGTGGCCTTCTAATGGCAGAAAAGTTGTTTTAAAAAATACAGTGGACTATGAGGAAAGTTCTGGGGTGGTGGGAGGTGAAAAACCTACTTTCCATGTTTCCTGAGCAGCAGAGTTTCTACTACCTTCTCAGTTACTCCTACCCCATCTTCAGCAAGTGCAGGTGGGCATAGACCTGCCTTCTGAATAACTTGGTCAGAAGCTATATATGCAATACTAGGCTACTACAGAGGTGACAGCAAACATGCCATAAAGGCTAGGGATCAATCAAGCCAGTCTTTCAGGAGGAAAACTTATAACAAACCAGGAGTTAGAAATATGTTAAACTTGCTTGCTACAGACAAGAGAACAAAACCAATTCTATAAACAAAATTCCTGCATTTTCACATTTGATGAAGTATTTACTTAATATGGTTATGCTACTTTTTTAGACAATTACTATCTCGAAGCAACTCATGTCTATTAAAAAAGAAACTCACTGCCATCAGACTTTGGAACACACACACAGAGGATGCAAAAAAAGGTAGAGAGAAAAATTGTTCTTTAATGCCAGAACAAAGTTGGTGGTGGTTGGTGGTTCTTTTTTCTTTGGCCCTTTATTTATGTTTTATACTCTGCTCTCTTATCCCAAGTGTTTCACAAAAAGTTAAATTTAAAATCAAGTCTCTGTTGAGGCCAATGAAGAAGGTGAGAAGCCAGGTGGAGGGAGAGATCCAGCCAACAAAACCTCTTCTTCAACAGATGGCAAATGCTACTAAAAGCCATTTTTGGCAGAGCAGCAAGTAAATAATTGTTTAGCATACCTTTCCAACAAACAAAAGTTACTGGTGGCAGATTGTGTAATACTACTCTACTGAATTTCTGTGACATTGTGCTGACTTTGCTTTTGGTCACATTCAAGGTTTTGCCTCATGGTTTTTGTTTTCACCTAAACCCTTTTTATGTGGAAGAAAATGGAGGACAGGAATCTAATACAAAAGGGTAGTTTACAATTGATTATTATAGAGCTAGATCAATCTGCAGTTTAGTTCTTCCACTTAAAAAAAGGTGTTTGTGCTCTTTCTGCTCATTCACTAAGCAAATGCAAGAACGGAAAAAGCTGTGTTTTAACATTCTTCCATTCTGGTATGTTTGACAGTACCTCCCAAATCTTCAGATAAATGCATATGTACTTTGTATAGCCAATGAGTAATTAAGTAATGAAAAAAGTCAAAACCAAAATGGTCATACAGAAAAATTTAATACATTTTTATAATGAAATCATCACAGTAATAGGTTTTTTTATTTTACTGTAATGATATGCAACTATATCACACTAGTATAAATAAAAACATTAGGATTAATGTTTAATACAGGTCTAGGAAATATCACAGATTAACAAACTATGCATTCATGAACCAACTGAACTGCTATAAACAAAACAAAGATGGCGATACCCTCAAACACCACATCCTGTTCAACTTGAATAAGGCCCTGCAAATTTTTACATTAGTATATACCCTCTGCTTTTTTGCGCAATGCACAGGCACACTTAGTTCAGTTCCAGAGTCTCTTAATGCACCATGACAAACAAACTCGTCATGTGCTAGCGAGGAAAACTGAGCAGGTAAGAACAGCAAACAGTGCATTAGATCGGCACAGTATAGATGTGAAGGTCTTAACATTTAAGTAAGTGATCTGGGGCATGAATTAGTATCTTTTCACTTCATGCTGCAACAGCTAGTCTGAGGGCACTGAATTTATACCCCCAAAAAACTCGTTAAAGCAAGTAGCTATGTGAAAGTTTCATACTGAACAGGACAGGAGGATTTCAAATTAAAGCATGTTACTTAGCGAAAGTAAGTTTATTTTAGATATACATGATAAGAACCAGGGCGAAAGAGTTTTTACTTTTAAAGAAAGTGTTAGAAACATCATAAGTAGTCTCCTGAACTTTGTCTATACATTAACCAAATTCTGTTCAGTTAACACTGATTTATACAATAAAAGCCTCCAAAGGAACAAGTGTTCCAGTTTAATACCCAGGCAAGTAAACAAAGAAGGTATCATTACTACCAATTTTAAAAAAACAATAGCTTGGACCCAAAGTTTCCCTTTCTCTGACGGGGGCTCCCATCAAAGGCTGGGAATCTTTGGATTCGGCCCAATGTACTGTGCCAAAAAGTATAGCTTTGGCAAAGGTTCAGCTCAGAGTTCAAAGCAAAGCTTCGAAGAATTTCTAAATCACATTGGCCAATTAGGCACTGCAAAGAAATATTAATCTATCGATTTTAAAAGCTACGCCTAAATAATTATTAGTATTTGGACCACTTAGCAAAGCACTTGTTTACAGTTCTTAGTTGCATTCCTACCGACTTCACCAAATTTACTCTGGTATTCCTTTGGAACATGTTTTCCTCAGACAAATACTCTAGTGTCAAATGATTTGCAAATAAAAAAGAGCTTACTCAGGCAACAGGCCTGAGATACACAAACACACCTGGTGTTACACAAACATATATGTAGTACGTAGGGCACCTGGTTCTTTTTATTAAAAGATGCTTCCCTGGCTACCTTACACATACCTTGTGAATTTTCAGTGTTTCCAAATGGGCTTAGCAAGTGAGGTAGGGGATTACTGGGCAAAGTCAGGCGCTACACTGTGCAAACAGTTTACCACACAGCCCTCAATCATTCTGACAGTTTCATGCTCACCCATAATGCTTGAAAAGCCAATGTAAATGCCCTCACTATCAGGAGATGTGATGCTCTGGAATGTTCACCTGCCAGTCACATCTCTAAACTGTCCCATTTATGTTTCAGTTTTTTTATGGTCAAAACTCTCAAAGTAACACCTCCAAGTCTTTGGCCTGATTCACACATGATAAACCGAAGTTTGGCTTTAACTAGACTGTGCTCCCAGAGCAGCTCACAGCCTGCAGCCTCTTTGCTCCTTCCCAGTCCTTTTTGCTGCTGCGAGCTAAGCCAAACTTTGGCTAAGCACCTCGTGCAACTGGGCCTCATGGTTAAGTTCTCTTCTCACTGACCATGAGCTGCTCCCAAGGCCAACATACTAAGCCAAACGTTGGGCTCACTGAAGCAGCAAAAAGGACCAGGGAGAAAGAGGATGTTGTGCGAACCAGGCTACTGTGGTAGTGATGTTTTGTGTAGAATACAGTGTAGAAATTCCAGATACAAAGGATTGCATATTATTGGTGTCCCACTGCTGAAAGAAGGCTCTTTGATCCAGCAGGTGCTTCCATCAGCAGAACAGAGATTGGGGAAACTTCAGTGATTTCCCTTTCCTCCTACAACCTGCCTCCAGTCGGCTCTGGAGGACAGAAGACCATTAGAACAATGTGGAGAGTGGTGCAGGGGGCTGCAAGATAATGGCCAAGTCATCAAAGATCGCTTTGATCCCCCTTCCACTGAGGCAAGACTCTGCTGCATCCAAGAGCTTTTTCTCAATTGAGGGACACCAAGTGGATACAACCCAGAAATTGAGACAAAAAATGTTCCAGTAAATTATATCTGTTGTGGATAGGATTTAAACCCGACATAGTTGCAGTAGGAATCAATTGTTACTTGAAAAACTGAATTATCACTTCAGCAGTTATGTTCTAAAGCTATTGAAAATCAAAATCAAAATGATAACAGGTTTATAATTAAAATAATTGTTTTTAAATCCTGCATTATTTACAAATGTTGGGTCCATTATTTCTGCTTTGTTTAAAAACAAACAGTTATTTAAGATTATGGCCATCAATCAAGTGGCAGACTGCATTATAAAGAAATATTAAACACTTCCGCCGTTGATAAGCTTTTGCCTAACCCATCTTTGCACATGGAGGTTTCTGAATTACTGTATAAAAAATACATTATAAAGGTAAAATTAACTGTGTCACTGTTAACTAATTTTATTTAGTATATTTTAATTCATAAAAATATAAATAAAATAATGCTCAAATATCAGTGTATATCTAGTGCAAAATATGATTACATTTTTGTAGGAACAGGGAACAAAAAGTGATGGGTCGTAATTCTGAGGCAGGGGAGGAAATCTCCAGTGTTTGAGCATGCAGTTGTTACCAGACACATTTATATAGAATTGTTCTTAATAGAGTAGCAGTATTTTCCTTACACCGCACAACATTGGTATATACCTTAGTGTTTTTAATACAAAAAAATTGCATAAGCCCAGGTCATGTTATCATCTTGCAACAACATTCTTTTTGAGACAGGTTTTGGCTGTTTAAGCTGCAGCTCAAAAGCTACAGGATTTCAAACATGCTTCATACAAGTTATTTTACCTGCTCAATCTGCTTCTGTTGCAGTAGATCAAAACTGCCATAATAATTTCATGATATACAATCTCTTAAGTTTAAATGGCACAAGAAATAACTTCCTTCTTGTGAACAAACTCAGCAGGTCACAGTACATCTCAATATGAGAAACTACCATTTCAGAAGGGCACATCAATTGTAAAGAGGCTCTGTTAGGGCTCAGGAGAGAGAAATAAAAGCTCTTTTGGAATGTAAAGAGGTGATATAAATAACTATGCACTTAATGAGTTAACACAACAATTGTCTGTGGTAAAAAGGGCAAAATCTTCCAGTATTCAAAAGATGGCTCAATTCAAAATGATCCCTCCAGAAACAGGGACTAGTAATCAGTTTCTTCAATGCTAAAGCAGCAGGGTACAGAATGGAGCCTTCCATCTTCTGACACAACTTTGTTACTGCACTATCATGGCAGATCTAGCAACTTAGAACGCATCCAGTGCAAGATTGCAGAACTTCGCTCCTACCCTCTTTGTTACTGTGAGAACCAACCTTTTTCCAACTCTGCGCTTTTTCCTAAATCAACTCCTGAATTCCAGCGGCATGCTTCCCCAAAAATCCAGCTTTCCTC